CTATTGCAATTGCAGCGCGTCATGAATAATTTTGAAAATGAGTTTTTCAAAATTATTTTATTTACTTAATTAATGAGTTCAACACAAGAAATTATTAAGAGTGTATATTATGATAGAAGCGGTTATGGTTCAAAACAAACAACCCTCAAGGATGCTAAGCAAAAAGATAGTAGTATTACAATAAACGATATTAATGAATTCTTTAGTAAGAATGTAGAAGAAAAAAGAAAGATGAGAGGTGAAAATTGCTTTATTGCCCCGCATAGTTTCTGGGAATTTCAAGTTGATATGTTTTTCATTTCTAAAAATGATTTGGAAAATCAAACATTTAGAATTGGAATGATATGCATTGATATTTTTAGCAAATATATGCATATCGTGCCAATTAAATCCAAGACACCGCCAGACATTTTAGCAGGAATGATGGAGAATATCAATAAGATGGGTGGCAAACCGAAATTAATTTATACCGACGAGGAAGGCAGTTTTTTTAATCAATCAGTATTAGATTATTTGAAGGAGGAGAAAATTGAATTACATAGAACTAGAGGTCATCCAGCATTTGCGGAGCGTGGAATTCAGACTTTTAAAGACCAACTGTTTAAACGAGTTGAAGCGGACAAGAAAAATGGAAAGCAGAATATCCAATGGACGGATTATATTTTTGAAATATTATTAACTTACAATAATAAGATGGTGCATTCTGCCACCCGCTTTGTTCCAGCACAGGCAAGATTAAAAAAGAATGAATTTGAGGTAAAAATGAATATTACAATGCAAGCAAGAAATACTAGAAAATACCCTGAGTTGTCAGTGGGTAGTAATGTAAAAATAATGAGGAAGAAAGGCATAAGCGAAAAGGCACATACCAGTCATTGGTTAAAAGAAGTATTTAAAGTAAAATCAATTGACAATAAATTAGGGCAATCTTACTTTCATTTGGAAGGAAAAACTAATCCTTATTTGAGACACGAATTATTAAAAGTTTAATATTAAACGAAATACAGTTAAAGAAAAAACGCCTTATAATATTAGTGAAATGTTGTTTAACTATAACAAGTGCGAATGCTGTAAATGCAAAATGAATGATTTGAGTTTAACCTTGCATCATATACTACCAGCAAATGTATGTAATAAAATAAGTGAATATAATGTATACTGCAATCAATGCTGTATAACAAGAGACCTTGAACAGTTTTTTCTTGAAGAACATAAGGATAAGGGATATACAAAGTTTCAATTACAGTTAAAATTCTTTATGCGACACCAAGCAAGATTTCCTATACACTTTTACCAGAAGATTTCCAGAAAGTCATTTGAAAATGAAATTGATGAATTCTTTAATAATATAGATTTAATTAGGAGGTTTGGAGGAATAAACGCAATTAAACCATATAAAGCATTTGTCAAAAAGTACCGTTATTTGTTTGAATGGATTGACTGGCATTTATTAGACAAAGATAAAATAAATGAAGTCTTGAACGAATTTAGAGCAACTAAATATAGTATATGGTATTACTACAACACTAAATATAAAGTATGTCTATTGTTGTATTTATTTTTTTGGGAATATATTTATTCAATATTAGGAAAAAACAATATCAAATATATATACATTGGTGATATAGATAAATATGTAGATTACATATTTGCAGACATATTGCCTGACCATTATTTTAATCCATAAACCTTACAATAAAAACATTGTAAGATTTATGATTTCAAAATGACTTGAAGAAATAATAACTTAATATATTATAGTAAAATGAGTGATACAGTCGGTATCAATGCTAAAAATATATTGAAAAACAAGTTTATGAGTTATAAATGTAAAGGCTGTGAAATGCTCAAATTACCAATTGAACGGGGTTTTGCAAATGGTGTTTGTAATAATATTTGTCAATATATGATATGCAATGATTGCAATAGAATTATAAAAAAAAATTGATGATATGAATAACAAAGATATTGATATTATACATAATGAAACTCTTGATGATGATTTAGAAATATTTGTGTTTATTGAAATGAATAATTTCTTAACTATAGAAGGGTTTGATAATTTATTAGAATGTGACGATGAAGGATATAATAATGAATTTATTTTTAAGTATTATTGTATAGTAAAAAGATTATACAATATGTCTTTTAATATTAAACGTTTAAAATACGTTGTATTGTTTGATTTTTTTAAATGAGTTTTTAAATGATGAGTATAGAATTGACGAACTTAGATATACAATAACACATGCAATTAGAACAATGGGGTTGTTTAGAACAAAAATAGGAAGTAATATTTATAATGAAACAACGTGTGATAAAATAATAGAAAGACTTAAATTAATAATTTAGTTTTAGGCGAAATAGACCTAAAGAAAAAACACCTTATATTAATAGTGAAGAAATGAACGGTATTGAAATCAATAAGTATATTAATAAGAAATGCTATGACTGTTGCCACTTTAAAAAAGAAAATATGGAATTGTATAAACTAAATTTACCTAATGGAATAATAAATAATATTATTGATTATGCTTTGGGTGAAGAAGATTTATGTAGAACTTGTAGAAGATGGAGACGATATCAAAATATAATAGAACATATTTTGGAGATTAAAAAAATAGATGAAAGAAATGTAGAAGATGAGATTTTGATATTTTTAACTGTAAATAAATTACCACCTTACGTTTATGTTAAACCGTTTCTTAAAATCAGTAAGAAACGATATGAAATGATTTATGATATATTAAGGATGTTGTGTTATAGTCAAAAGAAAGGAGAATATATTAAAGAATATATCAAATTGTATATTGAAATTTATAAACAGTTTAATGTTAAAAATACAGTGAGAGATATTAATATTATTTTTAAAATGATGTATGACATAAGTGAGATTTGTCAATTAAATTATTATCCTGAACTTAAATTATAAATTAACCCATAAACCTTACAATAAAAAACATTGTAAGATTTATGTTTGAAAATTATGGGGATTTTATATTTTGGGATTTTGGGATTTAGGGTATGATACAGGTTTAAAGGTAAATTACCTTAGTAAATTATGGAGAAGCAGTATTGCAAAAGATGTAATGCAACTAAACCAGTTGAAGAATTCAATGGAATAAACAAATATTGTATAAGGTGCTTGGAAAAGGAAAGGGAAAAACACCAGAAGAATAAGGAACAAAAACATCAGCAAAGCAAAAAATACCGTGAAGCACATAAGGAAGAAATAAACGCCAGAATGAAAGAATACAGCAAAGTCTATAATCAAATTGAAGTATTTTGTGATATTTGTCAGTGCAAAGTCAAAAAATGTAGATGGTCGGAACATAAAAAAACTCAGAAGCATAATAAGAATCAGAAGCAAAAGGAAACACCGACTATTATTGAAGAAGCACCTGTTGATATTGAAACAATATGAATTGAAATTACACCATACATTTTACAATTAAATTATTGTAAAAATTATGTTAAATGTTGATTTGGGAATTTTAGAAATTTGAAAATTATATTTTGAAAATTTAGAAAATATTTACAAAATTTATGTATCAAATCTTGAGTTGAGGTTCTGTTATGAAATGATGAAAAAATATTATGTGAATTGGTCGGTTGAGGGGATTTTATCCAACTGGGGGGAGGCCTGTGGTAGGTGTATAAAGGGGGCTTTTTGTCCTTTGCGATAGCGCACAGTGTCTGTTCGACGCAGCGATTTATTGGGGGGAGGGGGAAAGAAGGAGAAGGCCCCAAAAACAAACAAGTCAGTTTGTCAAGGGGGCTATTCAATGGCAACATTGGATTGACTTCGAAAAGGGTTTCCCTATTCTTCCGATATGTCGACAGGAAGCAAACCATTTTGAGGCAGAACATATGGTACAGCAGGAAGCCGAGTTGCTCAGGACAGTTGTTTTCTGGTACGGCTGGAAACCAATCTTTTTTGGGGGTAAATGGGGGTGGGGTGTCCAGAAACGGGAGGCCACTCCGAACAATAGGCACCGATTCCTGTTCTGCTTCCTCTCTCCCGAAGGGTTACGCAGATTTTTGACAGACCCTACATGCCAGTATGCTGAAGAACTCACCACTCGCAATTCCCTAGGAACCACAAGCGACAAGGGATGAGCGACCCTCAATTTGCCCCTCGCCGAACCTTCACACGTGGTTATGGGCCTGCCGGTAAGTTGCAACTTGACAAGGGGACTGTTTTTGGACTTCTTGAGAGGGCACCTACATAATTTTACAGTGGGTTTACTAGCAAATCTGACAAGCACCCTTCTTGATGTCCATCATTCCGATCCCCATTGACTGCCTCAAAAGATGCACTCTTCGCCGTCAAGGTGTCAGTCTCGTGGGCACACCGGCGATCGCCGGCGAGTTTCTGTGTGCACCTCCTTTGATTCCCATGCCGAAGCCAAGCAGCCATCCCCAGCCAGGAGTTCCATTCTCTAATATCTCCCGCACAAGCGAAAGGAACTGAGGGTCACTTTCAGGAAATAACAAAAGTTGTTCTCGCCAGGGAGCAGAAAATTGCACCTCCAGTCCAGTCCCTGATTGATTCCATTAGAGGGACGCCAAAAGGGAATCCTGAAGCCCATTTTGGGGGCTCTTCCAAACTAGCGAAATTGTGGTTATCCTTTTGGTTCACCTTGAAAACCGCCAACAAGAGGGGGGTGAGGTACCCGCAAACACACCAACACTTTGTTGCCCAGTGGTGCCCTTTTTTCCTTTTGTTGGGTAAGGGTTCCCCTTTAAACTCAACCAACAAACAAAGGTACCACGTCACGACAGGAAGATCATCCAATGCTGGCCAGAAAGGTGATGCTAAGCAAAAAACTGGTGCCCCGTTTTTTCTTCCCATGGAAATCCACTGGGAAAAGCAAGAGCAAAAAAACAAAAGCCGCAAAAAGCAAAACGCAAAAGCATCGGGTGCCAGAAAAAAGAGGGGTAACAACAACAAGCGCCAAAAGCCTCTCGGGTGCCAGCCGCGCGCCGCGCCTTGCCAGGAGCTGATCCCGGGAGTGCAGGTGGTGGGGGTGGACCCCTACGGCTCCATCCTGGCGGAGCCCGCGGAGGTGAACGAGAAGAGCACACGCACCGGGCAGGCGCGCGCTTGCGATCCCGGGCGACCCGAAACCGAGGGCGAGGGCTCGAGACCGGAAGGAAGCGGTTTCTTTCTGGTGGCGCTGTGGCCGGTGGGTTTCTCTACTTCCGTTTGTTTAAGAATATTTGTTATTTTCCCCTGTTGGTTGTAGAAGGAATCGATCACTACTGGAATATGTTTTTTCCAGGGGGCTTAAGCAAATGGAAGTCTAGGTTTTGGGACGGGACCTGCTTTAAGGAGCTGATTTTGAGGGTCCCCGCTGTCCATTTGAAGGGGGTGTTTTAACCGGCAAAAGCGTTTCTTCCAGTGACTCAGTGGCTTGTGCAGGTGATGGATATGTGAATGTGTTTTGGGAAGGTACTCCTTACTCCCTGAGTTCCGTGTCGGACTTGATCCTTTTGGGGTTTGGACCATTGTAGCGGTAGTTGAAAGATTTGCAGACTTTGTTGGCCAATCCACTCAGGGTTGTTTTACAGGGAATGCTGGTTTTGAGGGTTTCCAACGTAAGGTTGGTCCTTTTTGTCAGTTGTTCAGTGCCACCCTAAATCTGTGTTTGCTTGGTGCGTTCCCCACCAAAGAAGGAATTGAACTTGGTTCTCTTTTTCTACCTAGAGGTATTCTGAATTGCTTACGCCAAGGCCCCTCGCATCATTATTTTGTGCCCAGACCAGTGTTTGTCAAGCATCAACTCATCCCTTCAAAGGGGTCCAGCCCCCCACACAAAAACAAGGGCTCATGCGCATTTGAAGTCAGAGGATCTTAAGAGGGGGTTCGGAACCCAAAGGCTCCAGTCCTACCTGAACTCTTTGGGATGTCGCAGCTCGGACCCCGTTTCCCAATATGTTATTTTCGCCCCCCCCCCCCCCCACACACACCAAAAGCCGCTCGCCCCCCCACCCCCCACCCCTAAGAAAAAAAAAATCTGCAGCACAACCATGGCTAAATGAGGAGAAGCTGTCCGCCTACCACGTGGAGGGCATCGGCTACGACTTCATCCCCACGGTGCTGGACCGCGAGATCGTGGACCACTGGGTGAAGACTGACGACGACGAGGCACGGGGCTCGGGGGCGGGATGGACGGGCTCGGACTCGAATCAAGTTGTGGGGAGCGGAGGGCGGAGGGTTTTTTGGGAGTTGGTCCATTTTTTTTGGGGGGGGGCAACGGGTATGGTTGGGAAAAAGGGGACAAAGAAAGAGAAGCCAAAGAAACTTACCCTTTTCTTGTTGGGGGGTCATTAAATTTAGAGACAAGAGACAAATGAAGACGTTAACGTAGACAAACGCCAGGGGTCCCGCCGCCGCGGGGCGAAAGTGCCGTAGGCCTTCGCCATGTGCCGGGCCCTGGTGCGGCACGAGGGTTTGCTGATCGGCGGCAGCTGTGGGTCCACGGTGGCGGGGGCCTACCGCTTCATCAAGGCGGGGGGTGGGTGGTGTGGTTGGGTCCAGGGTGGGGGTTGGGTCCGGGGTGGGGGGTGGGGGGTGGGGGGTTGGGTCGGGGGTGGGTAGGGGGTGGGGGGGGGGGGGGGCGGGTTTTGCGGGGTGGGGTGGGAAGCTTGGGCCAGCCCTGGCTGAAACGCGTTGAATCACGAAGGTATTTGAAGAACAAAAGGAGGTTGTTGTTGCCCGAGTCTGGGTGGCACCAGTGCGGATGGTGGGGTTGAGTAGGGGGATGGTTGGGAGGCGGTGGGCCCTGTTGCCCTAGCTTTGAGTTGTTGTCCGCTTTGCTTGCAGCAAGTGGGAAGAAACAACATGTTCCTGGGCAAATGTCAACAATTTTACAAAGAGTTGCATATATATTATATATATGTGTACTTGAGGCGACCTCCACCCATGATGAAGTGTCTTTTTCGTGCGGACACCTTTTCGAAAGGGACGCCACAAGGATTTTTTTAAATCAGTCCTGCTCGTCTTAACCAGGTTTCTTCGATCCTTGGCCACGAATGGGATGTTTCCAGGAACTTAAGTACGCACCTGTTCTGTTTGATTTCAAATCCCGATCCAACCCTTGTCCAGCCCCCAGTTCGTCTCCCTTGAAGGCCTTGTTAGTATTTTTTTGGGGGGAAGGATTCGGATATTTGTTGGACGAGTCACAGACGCGGCCTTGCCGCTTTGCCCTTGCCCCCTCACCCTTGATATTACCCCACCCCTTGGTGTGCCAGAAATATCCTGGATGGACAAGGTCCGTTTCGGATGACATCAAGTTTCATCCACCCCAACTGCAGGTTTTGTTCATCCACAGTGTCCCAACACATGCATCGGCCTCCCATTTTGGTGGCTTTGGGAAAACTTGGTGGTTCCCAGCCCATCCCCGTAGCTTTTTAGCCTTTCAGTGTTGAGTGGTTGTCAATTTAACCCACGAAACGTTCTTCACTTGACGGATCTGAACCGGACAGCCCAGAAACGAGTTGGTCAAACCCGGACCGCCAGGAGAATAAGCTGGGCAAGGACAAGCGCTGCGCGGTGCTGCTGGCGGACTCCGCCAGGCTTTTGGGCCCAAAGCCGAGGGCCTGGAGTCATGTCGGTCGTTTGTTTTGTGGGGACCCCTCCCCATTTTCGGTGGTGTTAAAGGGAAACCAACAGGGAAACCACCCATTTTGCGGGGGTCCCCTACAAGAAAAAGACAAAACCTGGGACCCATGCAAGAAAGCAAAAAACAAGGAGCCCCATGAGAAACCTTTGTTCGCTCGGGGTTCTTTCATCAGGGGCGGACGTTGCCAGCACGCATTCCGGATGAAATGCCAGGAACTACATGAGCAAGTTCATGGACGACGGATGGCTGGAGCAGAGCGGCTTTGACCTGGCCAAGATCAACGCGGCGGTGAACGAGAAGGGCGCCTATGACAAGCTCTTCAAAGTCTGA